ACACCTTCCTTTCAATATAACAAAAAAAAAAAAAACATAATAAAACATAACTCAACAATGCTTACAACTTCTAATAGAAAAAGACAGAACAACATCTTACAACTTCAAATAAAAATGACACAACACAACTTACGACCAGTAAGTTTCGAGGAGAAAGATACAAGTGGAATGGGAACTGTGGAGAGAAGAATAGATAAAAGTCTGAGATGAAATATAAGAAGGAAGGTAGAAGAGGATAGCTCGCAAGCTATGACAAATCCACATGTTTCATGTTCCATATCACAACACAACATTTCAAACTCACATTAAACAAGACATAACAACCCTTACAACTTCTAATAGAAAAGGACACAACAACACCTTACAACTTCAAATAAAAAGGACACAACACAACTTACAACCAATCAAAGTTTCGAGAAGAAAGATACATGTGGAATGAGAACTGTGGAGAGAAGAATAGATAGAATTCCAAGACAAAATATAAGAAGGAAGGTAGAAGAAGATAGCTCACAAGCTATTACAAACCTGCGGGTTTCCCGTTCCAAATATTTATCACATATCACTCTCCAAAACTCTCTTTCACAAAGGAATTCAGTCCCAATTTATAGGAGAAAGAAGGGGGAATAATATTTAATAATTCACATAATTGTGCCACCAAAAACAACCAATAGAAGCCTATCATGATAGCCCATTTGATGTGATGTTAAAGCACACATGATAGAAAACAATAAGAGGGAAATCTGAACGGCTAGCAGCAAGGAAAACCCATCCAAACAGGCAACCAGTAGCAGGAAAACCAAGGGAGAACATGAAAGCCGAACAACCACCATGGGAAGACAAAACAACCACATTGTGAGACCAAACAACCACATGAGAAGATCAAAAACCCCTCCAAATCAGCCCTACCTTGACTGCATCACATATGCATAAAAAACTAAAATTTTAAGTAATTATAAATTTTAATTTATAAGTTTCCTATTTAATAAATCTTATTTTATTATTTTTCGACACCTAATCCTACTACTACAACAACAAGCTTTATCCTACTACGGGGGTTGGCTAATGAATCATTTTTCTCCATTGTGTCCTATTAAGAGCCAAATTATAATAAAAAGAGGTTCACTTCTACCTTTCTTAACATATGTCAGATCTAATTCATTCACTCTCCTAATAGGGTCGTCGGAATGCCGACAGTTTATATGAGCAAACTATTTAAGACGACTCTCTCTAATCTCATCTGCCACTAGAGCTACTCCATCCTTTTCGCATACATACTTTTTTCACATTCCATCGTTAAGTGTAAATCCACTCACCCACCTATGTGTCCTCATCTCTGCAACACTTAAATTAATTTTATTCATCCATTTTAGTGGGCAACATTATGCGTTATAAAGCATTGCAAGTCTAACCACTATCTTATAAAATTTTCCCATAAATTTGAGGTGTACTTTTCTATTCCATAAGTTTTAGAGGTTGTTGCTGCTGCAAATAAATATTCCTTGTTAGTTGCATTCTCTAAGAATGTCAAAGCTTTCTCTCCATTCAGAAAATTTTTATTGTAAAATTTGTAATAAAAGTCGGATTTTTTGGTTTTCCATATGTAGGAATTCCCGGTGATGGGAGATGTTTATTCCGAGCAGTGACTCATGGTGCCTGCTTGAGAGCAGGTAAACCAACACCAAGCGAGAACCTCCAAAAGGAGCTAGCTGATGAACTGAGAAATAAAGTAATTAACATTTACTTATGTTGTCTATAATATTTGCTGAAACACAGTTTTTTTTGTCTCCATCGACCAACTATACTGATCTGAGCGTGCATAATTTTGTTATTTAAAAAAAAAAAGGCAGTAAGCAGTGCAGATTCCTAATATATATACTTATTTATTAGTTTTAAAATATTATGATGCGCATTTGATGCTAGTCCTTGGTCTTATAATACTTATAATCTACATACTTCTCTTGATTTCTTGATTTTTTTTAACTGATTGCACATTGTTTGCAATTTAGCCACTGTGATTATTGAATTTCTTCCTTCTGTTATGCTGTTCTATTCTCAAATGCTAGTTGTGCCAGGTTGCAGATGAATTTATCCAGAGGCGAGCTGAAACAGAGTGGTGAGTGTTCAACTTTTCTCGTGTCATTTTCTATTTAAATCCATCTTTGATTGCTTTATCATATATTCATGCATAGATGTGTGATAGAACCTTCATAATTGATCTGATCACTAAAAATGCCATTATAGGTTATATAAGAGTTTACTTATGACATCTTAGCGCTATGAATTTATAGTTGAATAATTGTAATTTGTTTGAATAGAGTAACTTTTGCTAGAGGAGAGCTTGCTTTTGATTCTTGTTTAGGTTCATGCATAAGATATTATAATTAGGTCTAATAATGAATATAGGAAACTTGTTGATAGCATGCCAAATCCAAGATGAGTTTAATTCGGAGAGTTGAGTTTCCTTCTTGGTTTTGAAGTGAAGCAACTGTGGTCAGAATAATCATTAATCAAGCTAAGTATATAGGAAAGCTCGTAAACTTGACGGATTTGAAAATATAAAACCTATGAAGACTCCAATGAGCCCTTCCATCTAAGTCTATCAAGATAACTTTAGGGTGAAGGTAGATGTAGGGCATTATCAAGATATGATTAGTAGCTTAGCCACAAGTTGTGTGGTATTTAGTCAAGGTTCGGTCCTGTCTAGAAGGATCTAATTTGCAAGCCCTGAAAGAGAATATTTGATCTTTGAAAGATTATTTGGATTTACGTTTATGATATACTCCTGCTTGAAAATTTTGATTAAAGAGTAGGAGTATCTTTAATTTAATTGATAGGAAATTAAGAAGTGTCTTCATGGCAATTTTAGATTGGAAAAATGAAAAAAATTAATCTAATATTGGGAAGGACAAATTTTAGAAAGGATCACTTTTTAAACAAGATTATGTAAAAGGAGCAGGATTAAAAAAAAAATTTAAGAAGAAGCAAATACGCCAACCAATTTGGCGTAATTGCCAAGAGAGAGAAAAAGATAGGGAGGGGAGAGGATCGGGAGAGAGAGAGAGGGTAGGAAGAGAGAGAAAAAGCTGTCAGGTGAGAGAGAGACACTAAATTAGAGAGGGAGAGCACCTGGGTGGAGATAGTAAATATTTGGTGAGTTAAAGTTAATAGGGGAGAAAGTTGTATATTAATTAAAATAACATTGAACTAATATAAGTAATATTTATAATACTAATATACATTTAAATATTTAATTATTATTTAAATAATATTTATAATACTAATTAATATATAAATATTAGCACAAATATTTATATATTAATTAGTATTATAAATATTATTTAAATAATAATTAAATATTGAAATGTATATTAGTATTATAAATATTACTTATATTAGTTCAATATTAAGTTAAATGTTATTTTAATTAATATATAACTTTCTCCCCTATTAACTTTAACTCACCAAATATTTACTATCTCCACCCAGGTGCTCTCCCTCTCTAATTTAGTGTCTCTCTCTCACCTGTCAGCTTTTTCTCTCTCTTCCTACCCTCTCTCTCTCTCTCTCCCGGTCCTCTCCCCTTCCTATCTTTTTCTCTCTCTTGGCAATTACGCCAAATTGGTTGGCGTATTTGCTTCTTCTTAAATTTTTTTTAAATCCTGCTCCTTTTACATAATCTTGTTTAAAAAGCGATCCTTTCTAAAATTGGGCCTATTGGGAAAAGTGAACCTTAGAAGAATTTCTATACTGGAAATTAAGGTGATCTATTTCTAAATACTGAGTAAAAAAACTGTTACATTGCGTAGTTGATATTGCCACAAAACATAAAAATAAGTACCAGTAAAATATTCATTCAGATGCCAATGGAGAATATGCATGCTCATCATTCTCGGAAATTAATATAGAATATGCAACATCTATATGGGCACATATATATATTGATTAATGATTAGTATGTTAATCCAGTTCCCTAATAAAGTTTATTAAAGTATTTAGGGAATTGGCTTAAGTTGCTGCTCAATAACCACCGTATCCATACCATGGTTTAAAATTGTGCAATAAGAGGCGCGCCTCAGCGCAATTTTGTTCTTTTAAATCTCAAAGCCTACATAATAAGAGCAGGGGATGAGACGTACGCCTCAAGTTTACTGAGGCGCGCCTTACCTCAGGTTTTAGATTCTTCGCCTCTTAAAATTGCTTGACAATGTTCATTGCTATTTATTTTTGGAATTATATGTTAATGAAAAGAATATTGTGATTTGGGAAAGATAGAATTTTGAGTTGAACTATATTTCATGTTGTCTTATTATTGGGATATTTTGATTTCACTTCATATCTTTTGCTATTTTATGTTTTATATTATTTACTCATTAGTATATAAAAAATTTATCATTTTATGTATACGCAATCTTTTGATTTTGAGACTTATGCCTCACCTCACGAATGAAAAACGCCTCAATACCTGATTATGCAATTTTAAACATTGATCCATACTGCAGGTTATGGGTCCCTGATGAAATTGATTCTAATGTTTCAAAGATGTAAAAACTCCTAATTCCTTCTGAAATCCCTTGAATCCATTTAGGTTACTTGAAAACGTCCATGATCTAGATTTTTTTAGATAGATATATTAATTCCAAGAATCTCCACCTTATTTTGATGGAAATGATGGCTGCCAGTATCTTTGGACAAGCCCTTTAAGTATGGAATCTGAGAACTAGAAGTGCAACTTCAATCGTGTCGAATTATTTCTAGCTGGAATTATTATCCAAACCTGAGCGCCATTTTTTTTTCTGAGTGAACAGTTATATTCATAATAATATCAAATGAGCAATTAAGTCAAATAGTGCATTAAGCTTTAGGAGATGCTGCAAAAATAGATTTATATGGGTAAGGGGATGTGATGAAGTGAGGATATATGAAAGTTTATTAAGCAAATTAAACAAATATTATTGAAATAGTTACAAGTAAAAAGTTTGACTTGATTTATTTTTATTTTTTTATTTTTTTATTTACATGACTTCTATTAGTAAAGAAATGAATTTAGGTTTGAACCCAATCCTCTGCTGGCAACTAGGCAGAGTCGACAAGGTTTAATCAACAAAAATGAAATAACCAATGAAAATTCCGATGATGGCCGTGTTGATAAAGAATCTCAACAATAGAGGATCATAACCATTTTAAAATATATTGCAAATGCCCATAAAAATCCAAAATTCACAAATAATCACCAAAAATTAAGATATTTAAATGACACTAAATCATTGAGATATGATTCAATAGGGTATACTCGATAGAGCACAAAACCCTCTGTTAGCTAAGGTGGGTTCAAATTTATCCCCCTTAGACAGACACCAACCCCAGGTCTACAAAGTATCCTTGGACAATGCAACACATGGCTGCCGACAAGAATCCTTCTGTTAGGTTGGGTCGACTATCTCCTCTGACTAGATAGACCAGGGACCATGATAGTCCGGGATGACAAAACCATGGAATCTTGATCGGGCTCATTATCATCCCCCCCCCCCCCCCTTTTACCCCCCCCCCCCCCCCCCCAAAATCCGCTTTAAGTGCAAGATGATAAAATTCCAAATTTTAAATATTAAATTTCCAAATACTGAACATGTTGGTACTATATGCTGAATATCACGTACCTACGGATACGATGTATTCATGTGACGACTAGTCTTAATCGAAAGTTCTCTCTTGCTATCAGGAGGGGTAGTTAACTATAGGGGCTTGCGCCTATAGGAAACTAGAACTCAGATCATAAAGCCCTTGCAAAATGAGGATGAAATCGTTGGGCAGTGTCTTATTTCAAACCCAATCCGTCTTCTGAAAATTTACCTCGGAACTTAATTTGTTAAAACTCCCCAAAAGCAGGGGAGGCCGAGGCGTAAATTTTCGGAGCCCACACTTGCATTCCTAAAGACCGAATTACCCACACACTTACCTCATTCTAGCGAGCAAATTAGAAATCATGTTGGCTTCCTTTGTATGCTGAGAATTTAAATTGAAGGAAAAATGAAAAGTGAGTTGAAAATCTCAACTCAATAGCATTCGTTTCATAATTAACTCGCATGTTACTTGCATTTTATTTTACTCCACTCACTTCAATCCAACCAGAGCCTCAGACATTTTAATTCACAGCTTATCCATGTTAAAGCTAGCCTCTAATTCAAAGTGTGCTTTCAGGTATCTTGAAGGTGACTTCGATGGTTATGTTAATCAAATTAGACAGCCCCATATTTGGGGAGGAGAGCCTGAGCTGATCATGTCTTGCCATGTTCTCCAGTGAGTACTACTTGTCTTGCTAATTCTTTCAAAACCAGAAAGCTTCTCCAGTCTTGCACTTCCTATACTTGGCCGCCTACTGAACCGCTCTTCAGGATGCCAATAACAGTTTATATGCGTACCAAGTGCTCTGAAGGGCTAAAAGTTATAGCAGAATATGGTCAGGAATATGGAAAGGAAGATCCAGTTCGTGTCTTATACCATGGCTATGGACATTATGATGCTCTGCAGCTTCCTCTTGGCAGAGCTCAACCCAAACTGTAAGTTCATTCTCTCTCTCTCTCTCTCTCTCTCTCTCTCTCTTGCTGCTGCAACTTCTTATAATTTCAACTGTTTGTAAGATCTTAAGCACAATTGTGGGACTTTAACAGGCATATGAAAAGATGAATTAAGCTGGTGTAGGAGCAGAGAATCTGTACTTTGCATGCCTCACAGAGGGTCTCTGTATCAACAAATTTCAATGAATGTTGTAAGCATACTCAACGCTTATACAACACTAATATTTAATGAATAAATTAGATGATTGGCTCAAACTTTGTCGCATCAATGAATATATTTCTTATTATCTACATGACTGTATTTGATTTCTTCACTTGTTTCTTATCATTTGTTCATTTAAGACCGAAATTTGAGAACTCAGTAGAGTGAAAAGAGCATGACATTATTCCTAGCATGGTGAACTAGTTATTACTTTTTTTTTTAACCAGCATGAAGTTTTGAGAAATAGATGGGGATATTATCAGCAGTATTCAAGTTAGATGGTTGAAGTGGAGGAATGCATTGGGCTTGTTGTGCGATAGAAAAGTCCCCCTCAAACTTAAGGGAAAATTCGATAAGATGATGGTGAGACCTGCAATGCTTTATGGTGCCGAATGTTGGTCATTAAAAGAGAACCATAATACTAAGTTAAGTGTTGCGGAGATGAGGATGCTTAGGTGGATGAGTGGCTTTACCCTTAGAGATAGGATACGAAATGAGTATATACGTGAAAATGCTGGAGTAGCTCCAGTGGAAGATAAGATTAGAGAGAGTCGCCTTAGATGGTTTGGTCACATTAAACGGAGGTCTTCCGATGACCTGATTAGGAAAGTTGAGATATTAGATTTGACTTACGTTAAGAAAGGTAGAGGTAGACCTAAAAGGACTTGGTCAGAAAATATTAGAAATGATATTTCTTTATTAGATTTAAAAGTGAGTTTGACTTTTAACATGACACAATGACGAAAAAGAATTCATGTAGCTGACCCTATGTATTGGGACAGAGGCTTTATGTTGTTGTTGTTGCTGCTGCTGCTGTATGATGTTTTGAGAAAAGGGCTTGGAAGTTCAAAATTTTGAGGGGCAGTGACCTTTTTCCTGCTTAACATCTGTTGAGTTTCTTCAATTCAACCCTTAAGTATGGCTTAGCTTGACCTGTGGGCTTATTATCTAGGAGTTCTCTTAGCTCGACCCTCGGATAGTCAACCCTAGCTCCTTCTAGATCCTGATAACACTAATGAAGTTGTGTGATAGGATCTCTGTTTAGCTTCATCACCTGATTGCTGAGCCAAAAATTTTGATGGGTTTGATTTCAGTAATGTTTGGAAGGATCAAAAACTTGATTTTCACCTGTATTTACATGAATACAGTAAGATCCTCCTGTTATTTACATGAATCAATTTAATCTCAATGTCATTATCTAATTTAATCTCTTGATTAAGAAATTAATTCAAAATGATCTCCCATTAATTAAATTGGGATCAATTTTGTATCACAATTTCTATATAAGAGATCATTTCGGATCAATTGTAGGAAGCCAATTTCCCTTTTCTGAAATGGCAGCATGCACCACATAAACTAGATTATTAAGGCTTCGTTTGGGATAGTTTTTTTGCTACTTTATAAAACTACTTTTTAGTACAAAAATTTTCAATTCAAGATTTTTTGTGTGTGCTAGAAAGCCATTTTAGCAAACAACAATGAAGCTGCCTCAAACGAAGCTTTCTTGCTGCTTCTTAAAATAGAATTGTAGTACAAAAAATTTAATTTTTATACTAAAAAGTTGTTTTAAGAAGCAGAAAGAAAGTGATCCCAAATGAGGCTTAAGACTTCTATTGGGACAACTTTCTTATTATTTTTTAAAGTAATTTTTTAGTATAAAAATTTTTTGAAAGCAACAAAAAACAATGACAAAAAACTGTCCCAAATGAAGCCTAAGATAAGATTGTGTATCAAAATGGCAGCATGTTCACATGCTATGTGAGATTTTTGGCAGGTTTAAGATAGGTGTTGGGTGCTGCATGACAAGGCTCATTTCCATTTCATTTCATTTGAGTTTTGGATGAGGTTGCAATTATTTTAAATGATAGGAATTTAATTATAATAATTAAAAGTGTAGGGATCAAAGTAGGATTAGTGCTTAACAACAAAGACTAGAAAGTGATTTACATGTAATTATATCATGAAAGCATGCCATGCTGATGTCTTATGCTATGGAATATAGAATCTAGTTTTAAAGAGTCTTATGCTTTATTATGTGAGCACACTTAGTTAATACAAAGTTTAGTAGAAAGTTATGTATAAGTTATCATATATATATTCAAGGTAACTTTGGCTTCATTTGGGACTGGTTTTTTGTTGCTTTTTAAAATAATTTTTTTAGCATAAAAATTAAAATTTTTATACTAAAAAACTGTTTTAAAAAACAATAAAAAAACCGCCCCAAAGGAAGCATGCTTCAAAAATCTTTGCTTCTTGGCTTGAGAATATTTCACATACTTAAAACTCTCATGGATCATTAAGATAGAATAAGAATGATAATAATAATGATATTTAAAGTCTCTTACAAGTAGCATAACGTGGAATTGCCAAACTCTAGCCTACGAAATAAGGCTTCATTTGGGACATCTTTTGATCATACTATTTTTTGCTGTTGTTAATAAGATTTTATGCTATATTAAAAAAAAATTATTCAAAGTCTTCTAGTAAGTAATACTCAAAGTCACCCGCCAAAAAATAATACTCAACACTATAATAATACTTAGATTTTATTTGAGATGGTTCTTTTTGCTTCTTAAAATAATTTTATAGTATAAAAATTATTAAAATCTTTATACTAAAAAGTTATTTTAAGAAGCAGTAAAAAAATCATCTTAAACGAAGCCTTAAGATTCATTTGGGACAGTTTTTTTTCTACTTCTTAAAGCTGCTTTTTAGTACAAAAATTAAAATTTATGTACTAAAAAACTACTTTAAGAAGCAGAAAGAAAACTGTCACAAACGAAGCCTTGATATATCTCTTGCAAGTTGCAGAATGTGGAAGGTTGGAACCCTAACCTACGAAATAAGATTTCATTTGGAACATTTTTTTGTCATTATTTTTTTGCTGCTGTAAAAAAAAAAAATTATGCTATATTAAAAAAAAAAGTATACTAAAAAATTATTTTAGAAAAGAGTATAAAATTATTCTTAATGAAGTCTAACACTAAAATTTTCTTGAAAGTTTTGATGAATGTGCTAAACTTAATGCATTCCCGACTCCTTCGTAAAAAATCCAGCATCCAATTCTAATTAAATTACTAAGCATATAACATTTATGATATTATGATTTATGAGCTTAAAAGTTAAGAAAATAAATATTTTAAACATACATTTATTTAAATTTACTTGAGAAGCAAATAATTACTCTAAAATAAATATTGCCTCATTAGATTAAAAACATCAAACAATAAAAAACTTAGGCTTCGTTTGGGACGGCTTTTTTATTGCTTTCTAAAACGGAGTTTGGTCTACTCTGAACTCCCTGAAGAATTATTTTTATTATTATTATTTGCATAAATATAATATATGAATGATTAAAAATATTTATTTAAAAATATTTTAAAATTCTCAAAGATAAATAAATAAATAAGCTTACCATTAAAGAAACACAGATTGTTCACTGTACACTTACAAGCCACATCTGTGATGAAAAGCCAAACAATGAATGAAGACCCTTAATGGCCTCATAATCACACGATAATTAATTCTTAATTACGGAATGATTATTAATTAATTAAGAAGCTAATCTCCTTCCCTGTAAATGGCGCCTACGCATTAAAAGAACTATTTCTTCCCACCGTCCTCTTCATTATCCACCACTCTTCTATTGCCCATTACGTGTTCTGAATTTGACCTCCACTTATTTAAAGCCCATTACGTATCACAGTTATATTTTTTATTTAGAAAAAAAATTCAAATGGATCTCAAATTATTTATTTTGATTTGAGGTTAGATTTTGTTTGAGATAACTTTTGATCGCTGCTTTTACGAAATGTTTTTATTAGAAAATTGTTGTAGAAAACAGTACTGAACATTTCATTGACAAGCAACATTAAAATTGATTTGATATGAATCCAAATGAGCTTTAATAAAGTAATTTAAGTAATAATTAAAAACTTTAGAATATTAATTGAAGGAACAATTGATATCTGAGTCTTACGTGCTTATAATCAAATCAAGTATCTCAATAAGAAGAACCTAATGAGCCT